CTCATAGAGGATCACAGGGAAATCCACTTGGATGTGTGTGTGTGGGGGATCCAGCTTCACGATGCCCTGAGGAGTCAGATTCTTATACAACCGCCTCAGCTTGGCCGGCTTCTGACCGTTCTTGGCGACGATGGTCTCCTCATAGAACTCATGAGCCAGCTCCCCATTCTCGTCATAGAACATGGAGCAAGGCTTGCTCAGCTCCCGCAGTCTCCGGGACGCCGCTTCCTGCCGCCGAAGCGAAGGGCCAAAGGCCCGAGCTTTGGAGCCGCTGGCGCCCATGTCAGGGTCGCCGGCGCATGGCGACCCAGCGGCCGCTGCGCTGTCACAATGCAGAACCCGCCACCATGCCGCTGCGCTGTCACAATGCAGAACGCGCCACCATGCCGGGGCCCAGCCTCTGTCCTTAGGTGGTGCTGCTGCTACCGCCACCGCCGCCACCGCCTTCCGCAGGCTGGGTTCATTTTTTATTTTTTATTTCTCCTTTAATTAAGGGGCATAGTATCACTGAATACTTAGAGATTTTTCCAGAAATGTCCCCCTTTTTGTTTTGATTAAAAAAAAAATTCTACTGTGATGGGCTCAATTCCCAATGATGGATGTCATCATATTATATACCTAAAATGTAGCAATAAAATTAATGAATAAAAAAATTCTACTGGGATCAGAAAGTATACCATGTATTAGATGTTCCATGTGTACCTGAAAAGAATGTCTATTCCACTGTTAAACGGAGCATTCTGTAAAAGTCAATTAGGTCAAATCAATAGTGTTTGAGTTTTCTAGCAATCCTCACTTTCTACTTGATCTGTCTTCCTGGGTCTTGTAAGCAGAGTTGTTTTAGAGTGTTTCTGATAAGCCCAGTACCTGCTATTGTTTCTTACTTCTTCATGTGCCTAACTATCTTTAACTGTGTGCTGAACACTATATTTGAAGAATTACTCGAGGGCATGCTTGGAACTTACTCTGGCATTATCTTCCTCTATAAGGGGTATTTTTGCTTGTTTTTACTTCTTCCAAACACGATAGAAGTCTAGGACCATATGACTCTAAACTCAACGTCAACACTTTGACATTCCAACTGGTGATCCTGAGTTGTCCTGGGTTCACAGGGGTTAGGTCTTATCTGACTTGTCCTCATTCCAGAGGTGTAGCTCTTTGGCCTCATTACCAGGGGATTGTGGTTTTCCAGGATCACTCACTGGTTGGCAAGGTCTGGCAGCAGAAGGAACTGCCATTGGCTTGGGTGCAGGGCCACCATCCTGGCACCTGTCTGTCCTATTCCTCAGTCTGTCAGTTCCTTCCTGACTTACCCATTTGCTACTTTCAAGATGGCTGAAACTCTGGTCATCCTGTAGGAAGGGTTGGTGTGCATCACTGAGCCTCTCTGCTTTCCCTGAACATTCTGCAACTCTTTCCTGGTTAAGTATTGGATTTGCTGGACTAATTTTCTGTTCTAAACATATTTAGCATCCATTTTCCACATCACTTGGTTGGGCTGTGTGAGTGATTTCTTTAATTCTTTTTCCAATTCTTGTTGAGTATTTATTTCTGTCATCACAGTTCTGATTTGCAAGGGTTTTATCTCTTTTTCTCTGAATCAATCTCTCTATCCTTTCCTTTCTTCTTCCCCTTCCCCCTTTCTTTCATATTCTACTGTTTTAAGGATGTAATCCATGGGTTTTTTTATGTTGATGTAGATATTTATGAACTCTCTTTTCCCTTCTACCTCTGTTTCCTTCAGCTCTTTCTACCACACACCAAATCATAATATCCAATGTCTGTAAATTTCGGCTCTCAGCCCACATTGGGGAGATCTGGAATGCTGACCGTGCCAGGCAGGGACATTTAGCTAGAGCTCCCCCGACCCCCAGTCGTCAACACCCTTAGTTCTTTGACCATGGAACACCCAGATCCTTGAGAGAAGCATCTTCCAGACTCCTGTCTGGCAGTGGAAATGGCTGCCACCTGTGTCTGGGGATCAGGTGGGAGCTAGTGCCACTCACTGGTCAGTGACAGCCTGAGGCTTGACCCTCTGCTGTCAGAAGTCTGGGGATGTCCAAGTCTGGGATCTTCTTGGCTTTCCCCAGCCTACTGTTTCCAGGATTCTGCTGGGTCAGGGCTGAACTTTACCACTTTGTAGGATGGGGAAGGAACATGCCTGAATGTGTTCAGATGACAAACTCTACTCCTCCATTCCACAGAGCAGCTTCCATGAGACCTGGCTCCCAACTGCCATCCATTTAGGCCTTCTCTGTCCTCTGAGTCAGAGGTTCCTGTTGCTCAAGGGCCTTTCCTCCCACTGGGCACATCTTCCCTGGATGGATGGTGAACAGAATGGAAGTAGCCTGGCCCCAGGACGCAGAGATGCACACATGAACTTCGACATCTCTGGGAGCCCTGACACCCACTGGGAACTGGGCCAGTTTAGGGGATGCCTCTCTGTGCAAGCATTCTTGCAGACAAGCTGGTGAGAAGGCTCTAGGCAGGGGTTGATTTCAAGTGTCCTTGCATGTAGGGGTTGGGGCTGACAGGAGCAGATGGGCTGGGCTGGCACTCAGCCAGTGATGGGTTGGAGTGTGGGGGTCTGGGGAAGGCTGAGTCACAGTGGACCTAATGAGGATTTGGGAATTCACTTTATGGACAGTTGGGGGCCTGATGTCACAAGGCAGGTCAACCTAGGGGCAAGGATAACCAGATTGGTGTGGACAGGTTGCCTGATTGGGAGGTGGCATGGGGTAGCAAGGAAGGACTCCTGGAGGGGTCTGGAAGATGGTACATCACTGCTTGGTGGTGCTGGTGGACCAAACAGTTGTGAGTAGCAGGTTGGGTTTAGACACTAATGGGACTAATGGAGGGGTGTGACAGGGGTCTGGGGTTCCCTGGAATCTGTGCCCTAGCTCTTCTGGCTCTTAGGGGTGCTCTCCCTGCTCTTCATCTGGCTCTTCTGCATGCCCCCACTGTGACTGGGGCTGACTTGCAGACACCTCCTCTCCCCCATGAGTACTATGCTCTATCCAGGGCAGGATCTGTGCCCCCACTGCCCTGGCTCCAGGCAGACTCCACTGAGGGTGGACATTGGTTCCAGCTTCCAGAATCGAAGCTAGGCTGTAGGTTCCCTGATGCTCCTGGTCTCTGCAGGGCTGGGAAGACAGTGGCTGGAGCTGGCACTTCACATGGACTTTACTAATGGAAGAATGTTTCTGTGAGCCAATGCTTCTATTATATTTTTTTTTTGAAGGATCAATTTACATTAGGTTGGTTTGGAAGTACAGTACATCCATTTTGGAAGAAGGATGTGCTCTTAATTTTTTTTTTAATGTAAAGGGACTCCTCCTAGAATATTTCTTCACTGCAAATATGCATTGCAAGAGTGGCTCTGCCTGGGTGTTTGGCAGGCTCTGTGTTTCTTCTGATGTAGATGTAGAGATGGGTTCCCCAGTGGCCAAGTAGTGTCTAGCAGGAGTCCTTCAGTTCAATCTTGTCTACAGTCCTGGAAGTAGTCCTCTGATTTGGCTGGTTTTGGCTCCTTCTTCCCTCTGCTCCTGTTTTCATCTTCCCTGTGGATAAAGGGAACCCCAGAGAGACCCTCATGCCATGCACCATCCTGTCAGGACTTGGAGGCCCTGCTACTCATGCCCTGGTATCTGTCCTTGGACTTTATGTGTCTGTGGCCTTGTGAGTACCCTGCTCCAAGGTGGGGGCTGCAGCTGTTGGTCAGCTGAGCCACCAAATACCTGAGTATCCAATGAGGCTTCCACCTTGTACCTCCCACATGCTCTGTGGTAGACCCAAGAGTGGAGCTCAGTAGTCCAAGTGTCCACCTTATAGGCGGACAGTTTTGCCAATGTGTCAAGAATCATCGCTTGAAAGAGCCATCACAGACATAATGTGATTTCTGATCCATCTTCACGCTGCATCTGTAGTTCTTGGCTGGGGGTGAAGTTGAATGTGGGGCCTCATGATGCTTAAAGGTCATGGCAGAACATTTATGGCATCATTACAACTCACATTGCCTGGAACTCTTGCACTTTGGAATGGATGTCTGGAGCTGTGGGAGCTAAAGCAGTGACCAGGGACCTTCCCTTTCTTCTCAGCCTCTCAGGAGGAGCAGATGAAGGGTTCTTCCAGGGGAGACTGAGGTGCCAGCTCTTCAAACCAGGCCTTTGGTCAGTGTGGACACCAATGGCTGGGGCGTTGGCTGGAGTCAGGGCCTTCTGCCCTCTAGTGGCATTGAAGCATGCTTGCTCAGAGTATGGCAGATGGTGGGGGATAGGGCAGGGAGGATCTGAAGACTGGGGCACTGAGTATTAGCCTTGGTGGGAGGGGCTCCCAACATTCTAATTAGCAGCGGCCCCAGCAAGAGCTCTGAATTCATTTATTCCCTCATTTACTCCTAACAGAGCAGGATGCTAGTCATGGATGCATCAGTTTCAGGTGGGCATTGGGAGGCTGTGTCTGTTTTTTGGTCCTTCCCTGCCCTACCTCCTCTGCCTTCCCCTGCTCCTGAGTGGATTGTCCTCTTCTCTAGTCTGTCCTCTTAGTAGCTATCATGAAGCCTGTAGGGGTCTGGGTAGAGGAAAGGCCACTGGGGCTGGGACAGCTGGGGGTGGGGGACAGGGGTGCTGATGACTGCTAAACTGTCTGTATGGTGTGTGTACTGATGTCCCTGCCTAGAAACTGGGGTGATAGTATCTACTCTGTTCCCTTTGGGTGGGGAGGGGCTGCTGACATTAGCCTACCCAAGTGGTCAGTTAGAAAGAGGCCCAGATGATTACAGCCCTTGTGTGGCTCCTAGGGGTCAGGGCAAGGGCTCCTGAGGGTCACTGGAAGGGGGTAAGCCATGTTAGGGTAACTGGCTGTGCTGTTTCCCAGTAAGCTAGGACTCAGGGTGGGAAGACATGTTGACTTTTCCCTTCAGCCCCTGAAGGGGCCTGGTTGTCCAAGGTTGCTAATGAGAAGGTTCAGGCGTCAGGAGCAGGTGGACAGTATTGATCCATCTAGGAAGAGACCTGCAGGGCTTGAGCCACTCTCTGCAATGCCCTGCGCAGCGCCTGTTTGACCTCCTGGTTCCGCAGGCAATAGATGATTGGGTTGAGCAGGGGTGTGAGCACTGTGTATACCACAGACACCAGCTTGTTGTAGTCGAAGGAGTAGATGGCACGTGGCCGAGCATAGATGAAGAGGGAGGCTGAGTAGAAGATGATCACCACAGCCAGGTGCGAGGCACAGGTGGAGAAGGCCTTTTGCCGGCCAGCAGCGGATGGAATGCGCAGCACTGTGCTGAGAATGGCTGTGTAGGAGAAGACAGTGAGCAGCAGTGGCCCCAGCAAGATGAGCAGTGCCAGGAGAAAGTCCACAAGCTCTGCCACTGACATGTCAGAGCATGCAAGGTTTAGCAATGGGGACACATCGCAGAAGAAGTGGTTCATGATATTGGGACCACAGTAGCCCAGGCGGGAGATGAAAAAGACCTTTCCCAGGGAGATGATGAAGCCGGAGAGCCAGGAGCCAGCAGCCAGGAGGCTGCAGAGGCCAGGACTCATGATAGCTGGATAGCGCAGGGGGTTGCAGATGGCCACATAGCGGTCATAAGCCATGGCACCCAGGAGCGTGCACTCAGTGCAGGCCAGCGCCAGGAAGAAGTAGAGCTGTGCCATGCAGCCTGCGAAAGAGATACGCTGGAACTCAGGAATGGCCAGGCTGAGCAGCATCTTGGGCACTGTGACAGAGATGTACCACACCTCCAGGAAGGATAGGTTGCTGAGGAAGAGGTACATGGGCTTGTGCAGTGCAGGGCTGGCATAGATTGCTGCAATGATGATCAGGTTCTCTGTGATGGTCAGCATGTAGGCCATCAAGAAGAGCACCAGCAGGCACAGGTGGAGCCCCAGGGATCCCGGGAAGCCCAGCAGGATGAACTCAGTTATCTCTGAGTGGTTGCTCCTTGCAGACATGGTGCCCATGGTCCTACTTTGGGGAGTGGAGGTAGAGGGTTGGGGTAGCAGCAGGGAGTGACCAGCCCCCCCCCACCATGCCAAACTCCCCTAGAGTAGAAGGGAGACCTCAACCCTGTCCACCCTCCCTCCCCCTCCTCACGGCTCAGCCATGACACTTGGGCCAGTTTTCCACAGGTTGCTGGGTGGGCACCAACAGCCCAGCCCAGCCCAGCACAGACATCTATCCAGATGCTGTCTGTGCTGGAAGAGATGTCTAGAAGCAGAGTGAGGAGAGAGCACATCTGAGCTGTATGAACTTGCAAACAACATTTTGGATGACAGTGTGAAACTCCTTCCCCCACTGCCTCAGTCACCTGCCCCAGGCCCAGCTCACACCCCTTTACCCGAGTTGGGAAGTAGCCATGGCTGGGGTCACCTTAGCTTCAGGGATGAGTGAACAGGGAACCTAAGAGTCAGGAGGGAGGGCTTCAGGGATATCACTGAGCTAGTGGCCAGGCAACAAGGAGGGAGCCTGGGGTCAGCATAGGGGCTGAGGGGTCAGTGGGAAGTGAGCAGTCTTGGGTGGGGAGGCAGTGCCAGGGCTTGGTCAGATTTCCTGTCTGTACAGAGGTGATGGTGGCAGCTTTGCAGAGTTTACTCTGAGGACTAACAAGGATTGTAGCGGCTCCTCAAAGGGTGGCATTGCCTTACAGACAGTGAAGTGGAGAACAGAAGTCGGCTCCCTTTCTCTCTTGTGGAAGGGAAGCCTGGGTCTTCTCCTTCTGCTGGTTCAGGCGCTTCTGAGCCCAGGCCAGTCTCAAAATATGGCTGAGCCCAGCCAGGGTCTTGCACCTGTTTTAAAATAAATCTGTTTATTTGGAGCAGAGTTGGGCTTTGCCTGTTTATCTGCACTGTAATATCAGACATGGTCTTTGATGTGTCTGGCACTTAACCTTATAGTAAAGCTCAGCCAGTTTGCTGAATGAGCTGGGTAATTGTGTGAGGAATGCATTTGGGTAGGGATGGGTGAGGGCAAACCTCCAGACTTTTCTCCACCCTTATAGTGCCTCTAATGTGTCCTCAGCTGAGGTGGCTGGTCACCAAACAGAAATCAATGTCCACCCCATCTGCAGCTGTCCATGAGCCCTGGGCATACCCCATGGCTGGAGCCAAGTCCATCTAAGGCATCAGAGCTGAGCTTGGAGTAGCAGAGTTGTGAAGGGGCTGTTCCTTCTGCTGTGCTGGTCAGCGTAGATGCTCTGAGGAGTGGCCACTCTGTCCTTTCTCAGCCCTCCCTCTGCCCTTGGGCTGCCCAGACACCTCCTCTGCTGCCCCAGGCCCTTGCACTACCCATCCCCTAATCCCAGCATGCTGTTCAGTGCCTGAATGAGGTTGTCAGGAATAGGCTGTTTTCATCCTGGCCCAGATGCATGAGCTCACTCTGGGCACCTGGGCCATCAGAGGCACCATGCTGCAGGAGACCTTCCCTTTGCACAGCCCTGATCCCTGATATTGCTGCATCCAAATGGCCTGCCTGGGAGCTGGGCTAGGCAAAACAAGGCCTGGGCCCTTCCATGTCCTAAACAAGGATCCTATGACCCCTGACAATTGACTTTTGCTCAGATCTGCCTCCTACCAGCTGTGAGGCTTAAGACAAATACCTGCCTTTTCTAGTGTTCTCTCTCTCTCTTCTCCCACTACCCCCCCCTCTTTGAAAGATGGAACAAGGACCACCTTATCTGGGGTGGATTCACAGCAGCAAGCCTGACTTCTTATCTTACAGACATGTGGAGACAAACAGGAAGGTCCCAGTGTGTGCTGCCAAGGGGCCATGGGGTGCCTGGGACATGAGGTCTTCCGAGCCTGGCTCAGGAGAGCTTCATGCCCTATATTCAGACACAGTACAGGCAGGCCCCCAAGATGCTCACATACAACACAATGCTCCCCAAATGTAACACAAGTGCAGAATCACACACTCCATCCTCCAAACTTAGATTCCCTCACAGGCATCCCAACCATATCCACCTCCACGGCACAGGCAAACACCCCCAGTGCAGGCTCTCACACAGAATGCAGGCTCCTGCCACATAGATGAAGACACAGCCCCCAGGCAGATCCAGCCTCAGCACATGCAGACATCTCCAGATGCTCATACTCCTGCCCAGGAGACAGACAGATAGCAAGCCCCTTAGTCTTGAGAGCCCCACTCCCTCCCACAGAAGCCAGTGGACAGAGGGAACTTTGAAATGGTGTTAACAATGAAACCACAGACACACTGCTCCTCCACAAAGGTATCTGCTCATGAGAAGCATGTTCACCAACAGACTGCATCAGGCTCACTGGCCAACCAAGTTATAGGCACAAGCATGTGCAGGCATACTCACACGCACTCAGGTACATGTAAATATACCCAGGTACACACACACAAGTATATATACGGTGTTTAACTGATGAGCACATAGGTGCATACACAGGCACTCACAGGCATGTTCGGGAACACATATGTATACATAGATGCATATGGCACCTACGGGAACACATAGGTATATACATAGGTGTATACTTACAGACTAAGGCACATATACAGGCACACACAGGTGTGTACAAAAGCACACAGGTATATGCAGGTGCACACCCAGATACTCCCAGACACATATACATGCCCTCTGAATCTGGCACACAGGCACACTCATGAATACAGGCTACTGCACGCTTCAGCTCTCACCTGCGTAGAGGCTCACCAAGTTTGAGTTCCAGCCCTATCCCACACACTCCAGTCTGACTGCCGGCCATCCTCTGCACCTATGAAGGAGCCTAGGGCCTAACCATTCTTCTCAGGGTTTGCTGAGGGCTTAAGGCTGCTATGGGCCAGGGCCTTGGCAAACTTAGTAACTTACCTTGTCCTTGAGGACTTAGAGAGGGCTCAGTGTGAGAAGTAAAGTGTGTGGTTCTGGAAAAATATGAGGACCCTATATTTTGGAAGAATATAGGGGCAGGGCTGACTGAGGGCCACCACAGGCTCTCAGCTGAGAATAAGCCCTCTCTCATTCTCAGATGAACCAGCCTGGCCCTGGATCCTGTGAGGAGTCTAGAGGCAGCACCAAGACAAGGGAGATATAGAGCTATTCTTGGAGCACAGGGTCCTTGTAATTATCCATGTTTTAACAAGATTAAGACTTTGGAAGATACAAATCCAGGGGTATCTGCTACAAAATTTGCCCTCCCACCAATAAGATATCCCTCTGCATTACAGAAAATAATCAGTAGCTAGAGACTGAAGCAGGTGGCTCCTTGTGTTCTGCTACTATCCAAGGGTATAGCCGTTAGGATTGGCCAAGAAAGTCTCCCACCACTGGACAGGTCCAAACATACTCTGTCTCATCAGGGTGGGGAGAGCAGCCTAGTGAAGGGCAGCTGGGAGCCAGCACCCTCTCCTGCTTTGGCCAGAGTGTGCTTCCGAAGAATAAGCAGAGTGTATGCATAGAGAGCCCTCCTTGCCATGGCACATTCCCTGTGCCAAAGAACTCGCAAGAGAGAGAAGTTACTTAGGCAGGGAGCTTCCCAAGGAGGGGCTAGGGCTGGGTGGAAGGAGTCCAGGCCACTCCCTACCTGGTCCCCAGGTGGTGCATGGCAAGTCTCTCTTGGCTTCCTCCCTCTCCAGCCACCTCCCACCTGACCATGCCTGTCAGCCAGATGGGCCAGATTGGAAGCAGATGGATGCCTGCCCTGAACTTCGCTATCCTTGTGAGGCAGGGCTGATGTGGGGCCATGTGTGGTGAAGACAGACACTGTAACCCCCAGAAGAGGCCTGAGGAGCAAACCACCTGGGGATTCCTGGGCCCCCTGCCTCATTAGAGGCCTGAACTGTGGGTTCAGGCCATCTAGAGCCTTGCCATCTACTTTCTCAGAGAAGTACTGACTCATTACCCCTCCTCATCCATGGCAGGCCTACTTTGAGGATCACAGGGCAGCTTGAGCTATGGAAGGGGATACCGATGTCAGGACCCTCTGCTTTCAGCACTGAGACCCTGAGATGACCACAGCCCCTGGCTCTGCCATTTCTGGGGCCATAGTGTTCACTTGCTGGAAGCTCTGGGACACTGTAATTCCCCATCACAACACTTTAACTATGGTGCATGTGGCAGGTGCTCCTTTTGAGTGTCCCCTGACTCCACTGGCTGTGTCTGGCTTCATGCTTCACAGAGGGGGGATGACCTGGGGATGACTGTGGGGGTCAGAAGGCAGTGGGAAGTGTGGGGAAAGTGACAGAGCCTGACAAGAGGGCTCCAACCCTAACCTTTTATGGTTTGAAAAAGGACCCACCAGTCATAAGGGAGAGCTGACCTACCCCTTGGAGGGGAGGGCTGGGAACCTGTAGCCCCTCCAGGTGAGTCTGGTCCTAACACCAGACCTCAGAGGGAGCCTGGGAACCAGCATAGTTGGTTCTATGGTCTCCTGCCCCAAAGTCAGTTACTCCTCTCTGGTATGAGAAACTGAAAGTGTAAATAAGGACAAAATGTATAATAGTGGGAAATGGCAAGATAATATTTGAATGGGAAGGGGAACAAGGGAAGAGGGAGGGGAAAAGGAAGGTAGGAAAAAGAAAAAAAAGAGAATAGAAGGAGAAAATGGAAACAAAGCTTTTGTAAATAGGAGGGGAAGAGGGGTTGAAGGGAGGGAAGGGAAATGGGAAAAAAAAGAAGCAAGATATATCATGTACAGGTACAAATTTCCCATGATGAATGTTAACATTATGTATATCTAAAATGTACCAATAAAGACAAAACAAAACAAAACAAAAAAACAAATGTCAGTCACTCATTCACCCTTCAGCAATGTCTATGGGACCTGAACTATGTCAGGGCTGCTCTAGACACGGGACTCAGCTACAACCCCAGCTGTTGCTTGGGGTTCAGGTATCAGCAAAGGTTCAGGGAATAATGAATAGATGAAGGGCAGCTCTATGGCACAAAGGTGATAGGGGAGGGAGAAACAAGTGTGGAAACAAGTGTTCTGCC